ATATCTCGGGGATAGGTAAGCCTGTCCTTTGCTCGTCCTCTGACCCTCCTGCTCACTCTCACTGTCTCCAGCTGGAAGAGCCCACGGCCAGCCCACCGCCTCCTCTGAAAAGGCAGGTAGGGCTCCTTCCAATGGATGGGGTCTTGGTGAAGCAGAGGGGCCCCTGATGCAGAGGGGTGGGCTCAGTCGGCCTCTGCGCACCCAAGTAGGGCTGATCTTAGGTTCTCTGGGAAGGCAGGCACAACATGCGGTCCTTCAGCCAGTCAGGGGTATCGGCTGACCAACCACGGTGCTCCTGGTGTGCTGTTTGTTTGGGGACACAGACCGCACCACCTGGTCTGCGCTCTGTTTTGTCGGATGCCCCGGAACACAGCGTTAGCTGCAGACCGCGTACATAGGCTGATGTGTAAAGGGATGAGAAAGTGGCAGTGATGGTGGAATGGGCGTAGGTGGCCGCTTGGCTGCACGCCTTGAATGGGGGAGGCTGGGGTGTGGCTCAGGCCTCCTGGCGCCCGAGTAGACAAGGCCCTGCATGGTGTGCAGGCGCAGCGGCAGCCGGGCACTGTGGCTTTCCCCGGCCAGCATCTCTGGGTTTGGAATTTGCACAGACTCACTGTTTTGACCACAGCATTCAGAGATGGCTGGTCAGCATGAGACATGTGTGTTGCTTCTGGGCAGTAGAGGCTGAATGAGGTCAGTGTGGGTATGAAGCAGAGATGTCGTCTTAGTGTATAAGAATTGAGAGTATTATATTAAGTGGAATAAGTCACATGTACAAAGGCTAAACCCATATGATTTTACTCATGTGGAATATAAAACAAACAAAAAATAAATTAAAACAGCTTCATAGATACAGACAATAGATGGGTGGCTACAAGAAAGGAATGAGGGTGTGGGGGGGGGCAAAATGGGTAAAGGGGGTGAAATATATGATTACAGATGAAAACTAGTCTTTCTGTGATGAGCATACAGTAGAGTATACAAGTACAAATTATAATACACACCTGAAACTTATATAATGTTATTAACCAATGTTACCTCAATAAATTAAGTTAAAAAGGAAATGTAAAAAAATAACAATAAAGAAAGAAAAGGAGAGATCAGGTGATTCTGATGCAGATGGTAGACCATCAGCACCTGAGGTTAGTTTGGAATCTTACTCAAGGTGACACCTGGTGCGCCCTGGGCCCCTGGTCCTCCTGGGGGTCCTCATGTTGGGGGTCCTCATGTTGGGGGGCGATGCAAGGGCCCTAGAGGGAAGGAAGCTTGATTTGTCTTCTCTCCAGCTCCCCTCCGCGGTTGTGACGGGGCATGTGCTCCGAGAGATAAACCAAGTGTCGGCCAGTGGAGAGTGCCCGAGTCGGCCCCGCAGAGCCCGAGCCCAGTCTGACCTGCAGCTGGGGGGGCGCGGAGAAAGCCCTGCCTGCCAGGGGGCGCTGGCCCTGTCGGGGGTGCTGCGGCGGCTGCAGCTCGTGGAGGAGAAGATTCTCCAGGTGAAAGCCTCGCTCTGGGCCCCGCCTCTGCCCGGGTTCGGGGTGCCCTCCGTTCCCCTTCTTCCTTCGCCTGCCCAGGGTGGGTTCCTTCTCTGCCTGTTCGTGCCCTGTCCCCCGTCCTGTGTGTGGGAGTGAGACCAGCCTGCCTGACTGCCCCCTGTCCCCCTCCATCCCAGGCTCTGTCACTCTCTCTTTTTCTTTCTCCTTTCTTGCCTTGGCTGCAGAAGAGGGCTCAGAACTTGGCCAACAGGGAATTTCACCAAAAGAACATTAAGGAGAAGGCGGCTCACCTGGCCTCCATGTTTGGCCATGGGGACTTCCCGCAGGTAAACGGGGGTTCGGAGCCCGTGAGGCGGCCACGACTCAGTCTCTGGAGCTACGTGTCCTCCTTCCCACTGCTTTTATAGCAGGAGGCACGATTCATCTGTCAAGCCACTAAAGAGTTCAAGGTGCTGTCTTTAAAAGATGCAAATAAGAACACTCAAAATAGGTAAGATAAGTCAGAACAAAAGGAAAACCAAGAGAGAAGAGTGAGCTCAGATCAAAGGCAAACGTTACTGAACAGAAACACGGGCTGTTAGACACAAAGAGGAAAAGCTGGTCAGTTGCAGGAATCACACGACAGCGCCTTTAAGGTGAAAGCAGCCCAGTTGATCATGGTGTTTGGGGGCCTGATGGAGAATCTCCCCGTGGCCTTGATCGGGGAAACACTGAGGAAGAGGTCAGCCCCATGCCGTAACCTGAACTCTGCTCTCCCAAAAGGCAGCGCGGAGCCAAGGAGAACGACTTTGCCTTAGAATACAAAGCACAGCCCCCTTGTTTAGAAACTTGCAGAAAAGAAGAGCGTGCGCAGGCAAGGAGATGAAAGAACTGATATGAGGTCCCACAGTGCCTGTATGTGCGAGGCGCTCTCTTGCAGCAAACCTGGTCTCTAGAACATTCCTGTCTGCTGCTCTCACTCAGTTTCCTCCAGACCTGAGTCCTCTGCTATTCAGCAGAGACACTGGCCTGGAAAGGAGGCTTTGCATTTATTTAGTTCATGTTTAGGTGGCACAGGTGTCTGCAGCTGCAGAGGCCATCTGCCTCGAAGTAGCCCAGGATTCTCCTTCCCTAAGCTTGCACCTGCCACTTTATACCAAGCTCTGAAATGAGGGCCTCAGGACTTTGCTGGTGTCTGTGGCAGACACCGGCAGGAGCAGGATGGACCTGCTCCAGCTGTTACAGTGTGACAAGGGAGTTGGAGCAGTTGGAGCAGAAAATGTAGCCAGGAGCCAGGCAGCCCTGCTGGGTTCCAAAGACAGAGGCCTCTGCTTGGTCCCAAGAGGCGGGCCTGCATGTTCCTTGCCCTCCTCGCATGCGTAGGCAGGGGCTGCACCCAGGCGCACATACTGTGCCTTCTCTGGGGATAATCACTTTCCTCTGTTTCTGTTCCGTGCAGAATAAACTACTCTCTAAAGGCCTGTCTCCTACTCAGCCTTCATCTTCTCCCTCCTGCCTTCCATCTCCTGATCCAGCTGCCGCTTCCTCTCCATCGGCTGTTGACTCTGTTTCTCCTGCCAGAAAGGTAGTTGTCCCGAACAATTAGCTCCCCCACTCCCTGCATGTTCTGAGATGCCTGCTCTGCTCAGCCTGGCTGAGGTGGAAATCTGCAAGGTACTTTCCAACAGTCCCGGGTTTGGTCCTGGTTTTGTGTTGGACCCAGCAACAGAGCAGAAACAGGCAGCACTCAAAAGCTCGTCTAGCACCGCTTATTCGTCCAGTGAGCTTTAGCCGGACACACACCATATGCCAGCCACTGTGTCAGGTGCTGAGGAAATGAACAGGAGGTTTCTCTTACTACAGTAGATGGCAAAATGGCACATCAGCTTAGAAATAAGTAACTTTTTGCCATATGAAATTGCTCCTATTTGGCTATTTTTGACCTAGCAAATTGGCAGTTTTATGTGGTGAACCTAATATAATACTAATCGTTAATTCTGTGAGAGGCAGAAAGGGCAAGGTTGTAGGAACTCAGAGGGGAGAGGCCTGGCGGGACTCGCAGGAGGGAGCTTGGGGCTGAGTGTTTGGGTTATAAGGAGGATTTGCTGAGAGAAGTGAGGGGAGGGTGTTTTAGGAAGGGCCAGGCATGTGCAACGGCAGGCAGACAGGACTTCATGGATGGAGGGTCAGGATTCTGGTGAGACTTGAACTTGGGGATAAAAGTATTCTTAGGGGTGCGGAGAGTGAGTATGAAAGCGAGCCCATTCTTCTCGCGTTGGGTCCTCTTCCAAAGAGCCACTGAAGGCTCTTCTCCATGTTCTAGAATCTAGAAGGTAGCAGTGCAGAGGTTGGCTTGGAGGGAGGGAGAAGGAGGTGGAGAGCAACCTCTGTTTAAATTGATCATGAAATGCACCGTAAGCAACTGTTAAATGTGGGCTCTGGGCACTTTTCGTGTTTCTCTTTGTTCTCCTGATACCTAATATGCCGAGAACACGCCCAGGCTGGGAGGGAGAGGGCAGCCTCCCGAGAAGCGTGGCCGTGGAATGGACGAGCCTGGAAACGGGCATGAGGCCACTCCTTTAGCCGTAGTGCGTGGCAGTGGCTTTGGAGTCTCTTCCTCACAGACTCTGCTCCTCTGAACACATCCAGTCTGTCTAGCAGTCGCCTGGGCTGAGCTCGGCCGGCAGGGCTAACTGTCCCCCATCAGAGTTACTACTCATTTGCCTCTAGCTGTTAGCTGATGCACAAACCCGCCCCCTGCTGCTGCATTAGTGGGAAATTAGGAATTGCCTCATAGTGTAGATGGTGGCTAGGCCCCCTTTATCTCCACCACTGTGGGAAGAAGGGTGTTTATACTGTCTCTAAGAAAGGAACGAGCAAGGAATCTTATCAGCCTCCCGCTCCAAGGTCCCCATCATAGTGTGACACATCCCTGGAATGGAGAAACACACTTTCTGTCCCCAAGTCCACTGAAAGTAGCCAAGGCTGCCCGGCCAGTGTGGCTCAGTGGTTGAGCGTCAACCTATGAACCAGAGGTCACAGTTCAATTCCCAGCCAGGGTCCACACCGGGGTTGCAGGTTCGATCCCCAGTGCGGGGTGTGCAGGAGGCAGCCAATCAATGATTGTCTCTTATCATTGATGTTTCTGTCTCTCTCTCCCTCTCCTTTCCTCCCTGAAATCAATACAAATATATTTTTAAAAAAGTAGAAGAAGAAAATAGCCAAGGCTGAGATGCCCACCTTTGTTCCAGGTCAGCCTTTGATCAGCTCTTTGGCCTTAAGTCTCCTCACCTGTCTGGGCCTCCATTCTCTCATCAGCAAGAGCATGATTCCCGGCTCACGTGATGGTGAGCTGCGTGGGTGGAGACTGGCATTTTTGTCACCAGCCTCACCAAAAGGCTTCAGAGCAGCCTTTTTGCCCTTCCCTGGGCAGTGCTTCCTGCTGTGGAAAAAGGTCACCGTCACCCTTGACAGGAGGATAAAGGTGAGGGCACTTGTGCATAGACAGGCAGTGGCTCATGCTCGGGGCTGGGCAGTGGGCCCACGCCTTGCTTGTCTCTGGCCCAGCCCCTCTCTGGCTGGTCCTGGTCAAGGCCCTCTGTTGCCCCTGCTTTTCTTTTGACCTCAGGATGGCCTGGCTTGCTCACTGGCCTGTCAGGGCTGAGGGCAGAGCCACCACACTTCCCAGCTTTCCCTGACGTGGTTTCCCGTAGGTATTAGTTCTCTAGGTGGCGGCAAAAGGCAGCTGCCTGGGTGCATGTGGGGCATCCAGGGGCGACAGATGCTTCATGTGAGCGGGATTGTCTCCTGTCTCAGCATCCTCACAGCATCACAGGAGGCCCGGCCGCCGCTTTCCCAATGGCTCTTCAAACAGCGTCACACCGATGGCACTCAGCGAGTCAGTGAGGAAGCGTTCACTCATTAGACAAATATTTGTTGAGTGACAGCTTGGTGTGAGCATCTCAGGCTCTTGGGATGCGCATCAGTGAGCAGGAGTTATGTCCCTGCCCTGATGGGACTTGCCGCCTAGTAGGGGGAGTAACCAACAATAATATGATACAGAAGTAAGTTATGCCATATGTCAGAAGATAAGATGATACTTCCTATGGAAACTTAACAGATAGCAGGGACTTGACGTGTAAGGGGAGGGTAGCAATTTTAATGGGGTAATAGGAGGTTCTTCCTGAGAAAGTGGGAACCGAGCAGAAGCCACGGATCGGAAAACGGGGAGGAGATGAGTGCCTGGGGTCCTGGCCTCAGCCCGGGGTTCCTTCCTCTGCACCATGCAGGCCCAGTGCGAATGGAGGGAGTGCTGCAAACGGGGTGGACTTTGGGATGGCCAACCCTCGGGCCCCTGCTACCACCTTTAGAGCTTTCGTTCTTTGTTCCTTTGTTCCTTGTTTCTCCCTGGTTTTTCTTTTTTCTTACCCCATCTCCTAAGCCAGCCTTGGCCATCAAATGATGGTGTAACTGGGCTATTTTAATAGCATTCATCTTATGTGTCTTTCACAGAAGTGTGGCTGGGAGTGATTGGGGAGCTCTCAGAAAGGGCCACCCTGAGACCCCGGGCAAGTCACTTGCCCTCTCTGTGCTTTAGTTTCTCCATTTGCAAAAAGCACCCAGGTTGCACCTGACACCCACAGAGCCCTCCAGCTCTCACCGTAAAGCCATTGTAGGCACGTAGGAGAGAATGTTGCCAGCTGTACGACCAACTTCCCCCCTCAACTTCCCTCCCTCTCTTACCACGCCCCACCATTGACTCAGCAATGGGCTGTGACATGCAGAATCCAGCAGAGTGAGGTCTCCTTGTAGAAGAGATGCCTGCCCCTTACAGTAGGTGACAATTTGGGGACAAACAACATCATTCAGTTGGTGGGGCTCAGGGAGCCTCCCTCCTGAGAGCCGGGGGCCTTGCGGCTTCTTTCAACAGATTGCAGTCTTCTCTCATTGCCCAGTGACCCAAGTCTGCCTCCATTCAGGGGAGCTGGGATAAGGGAAGTGCACGTGGGAACCGACGCTAGTCCTTGGCCACTCCTGGCCGGCCACCTGTCCCTGGCCCCACCCAAGGCCCCACACTGCAACTCTGTGGATCCGGGACTATCACCTCCTCATGGGAGCAGACTTAGCCGGACTTGCCATGAGGAGAACCTGGGCCACCAACTGCCTTCAGACTACACAAACCCACCCTCTCAGACTGATGTTCTGCCTTAAATTTCAGAGTGATACTGCTGGGTTTTGTTTGTTTGTTTAGTTTTGGCCTGAACAGTTTCAGAGAATCTTGAGGGCTTCTCATTTAGGGCCCAGATTCTTACCCCAGAGTCTTGTCTTCCTAAACCTTAGACTATGGAATCACATCCTGTCTTATGTCCTCAGCACCACCAGACTCATCCATCCCATCAAACCAGCCCACCTGCAGTGTGTCAGCCACCCTCATCCATTAGTTAACTTCTTCATTTCAGAAGGGTGACCACTACCCATCTGGCTTCTGCCCCGGCTGCTAGCTATGTGCCCTCTGCTGAGCTATTGTTACGAACAAGGTATTGGCTGAGTGTTTGCTCAGCTGATCAAGAGGGACTGTGGTTAGTCCTCCTGGGTTGGAGAGCAATGTGCATTGCAAAGGGAGCTTTCTCTCCCCTCCTGGGTGTTTGCTTTAAAACTGGATTTTCAGGGTTTACTCTAGAGCAGCGGTTCTCAACCTGTGGGTCGTGACCCCTTTGGCGGTCGAACGACCCTTTCACAGGGGTCGCCTAAGACCATCCTGCATATCAGATATTTACATTACAATTTCTAACAGTAGCAAAATTACAGTTATGAAATAGGAACGAAAATAATTTTATGGTTGGGGGTCACAACATGAGGAACTGTATTGTTAAAGGGCCAGAAGGTTGAGAACCACTGCTCTAGAGCTTTGCATGTTCAAGGGAAGCTGGGCAGTCGTGGGTGGCAACCTGCCTTGGTCTCATGTGACACAGGATAGACCTCAAGGCTGCCTCCAACCTCACTGTCCTTCTCTCTGTCCCAGGGACACACTAGGCAGCTTGTTGGACGTGTCCTGCGTGTAACTCAGCTGGGGCGGTTTTACTGTGTAGCGTGCTGGTGGCAGGGAGGCAGGATGCTGTAGGGAGAAGGATATGGGCTTGGAGTCAGAGCACTGATTCCTGCGTGACCTGGGACAAGCCAGCGGACCGTTCAGCGCCTTAGCTCCCTAACCTGTAGAGCAGAGATGACAGCGGCTACTTCTCAGGGTGACGGGAATAATGCAGTGACTTTGCCTGCGGTAAAAATGCCTGAAGCATGCAGTAAATGTGCTCTTTCCCAAGTGGAGAATTCTAGAAGAAAGCTCATTTACCTAAAATGCATGCCGAGTCCTCTCTTTCTGAAGGCAAAGGAGTCACCTTCAGGTTTCCATTTCCATCCTAGCCACTTGGGAGCAGTGTGGCCTTAGGGAGTTGGGGACTCCCAGAGCCTCAGCTGTCCGTGACTGTAAGACCCACCTCTTAGGCCATGAGGGTTAAATGCATGTGATGAAGAGCATGGTGCCGGGCACCAGGGTCAAAGGCGCAGATATTGGCTCCCACTCGGGGGGTGGGGGGGGGGCACTGTCATAGCCCCAAAGGCCTGCCTGTGTCTCAGCTCTGAGCATGTGATATCCAGACCCCTTCAGGCAAGGGGGTCTCACCTTGCCCTCCCTTCCCCTTCCCTTCCCCTGGCATGTGGCTGAGGACTCGGGTCCACCAGCCTATTCCCTGCTGCTTCCAGGCAGGAACTCCTCAGTGAGGAACGTCCTTGCCCAGCAGGCCCAGGAGAGGTCCTCAGGCCCTGCCCGCGGAAACCTCCCCTCTCGTGAGCCCCCCGCTGCGAGGCCCTGGGAGCGTCCCTCTCACCCAGCCTGACCCGTATGGGCTCTCTGAGGCTCACCGCAGGCCCGGTGGCCACAGTGGCCCAGCTCTGCGGAGGAGCACAGCCTGGACACCTGGTATTTGTGGCTGAGTTCCAGGTCCAAGGTGGTGGGGGGGGACATTACCATTGTTTGGAGACAAAAGGGCCCAGGAGCCTGCTTCCTCCTTCACTCAGCGCTTCTGCTCTGTGCCAGGGGTGTAGAGGTGAATAAGACGGGGCCATGACATCAGGGAATGCAAGCCAGAGGGGAGATAGGCCCGCTGGGAGCAGGTGAGAAAGGCTCCAACAGCCAGCAGCGACCACCCTATTCCGAACTGGGAGTGATGGGACTGCTTTAGGAATGTCTCCTTGTGGAGATCTAGCCATCGTCTGCGGCCTCGGGCGATGGTGCCTGCGGCAGTAATTACATCACCGTTAGAATCTGGGCTGAGAAAAGCCAGCCGCTCATCCTTGGTGAGCCCCTTTGTTCTCACTCATGCAGAACCCTGTGCGGGGCTGTCCAAGGATGAGAAACGTCCCAGAGCGCAGACATGTGAAGCAGCACCGATGGTGGTGCTGTGGACTCGCTAACTTGGCCGATGCCAAGTGCTCTTGGGAGCCCAGTGCCACACGAGGCACAGCCGCTGTCACCGAGTGGGAAGTGGATGCAACTGGGAGGAAGGGGCCTCTCTGATCAGGTCGGCCTTCACCCTGACAGCCCCTGGCCAGGTGACTGGATGGTGCCCTGTGCTGGTAGAACCACTGAGCAGGCTCACGCTGCACAGATGTGTTTGGGCGACACCCCCAGCAACCGCACAGCCCTCTGCGTGCTTCCTTAATTGCTCCCTAAGTCAGGATTACACAGAAGCTCAGCAATACAAAGTGCTTATTAGCTAAGTGGTTAATAAGGCCTCATTAGGGATTTGTAGCTAAAGCCCCAGAAAGTACAGTCTCGGTCTGTGCGAACTCAGGGGGGGCAGTGACTGCATGTGGGTATCCCGGCATCACCATGGTGCCATTCTGGAGAAGCGCACGGAGCCAGTCCCCACACTGGGCCAGTGGACATGGCCACGCCAGGGCAGTGTGGATGGACAGGGAGGTAAATCTGGCCTTTCCTCTTTATTTTGATACAAAACCAGAAAGTTCTTCATATTCTGCAGCCCCTAGCTGAGGGGCCCGTGTTGGGGGCCTGGCAGGGGATGGAGCATCAGGCAAACAGTAACGTGTTGTCCTCAGCCAGTTCACCTGAGCGTTTCTTGAAAGCAGGAGCCAAGGGTCTTGGCATTAGTGACAATTGCAGAGTGTGCGCTTGAAAGCAGAATCCTGACTAATCTCTCCCAGGCTGGGGCAGCGGGGATGGGCAGACCGGCCTGGCAGCTGCTGCTCCTGAGAGGGGCAGGCTTTGTAAAGTCGAGGGGCCAGTCACCGCAGCCACGTTCTCCACAATCCCCCACAACCACAAACATGGTCTGGGGCAATGGGTCCAACCTTGCTGTTAGGTTGGGGTTCCCTTGGTGAGAAGGAGGGTGAGTGTCACTCCTCCAGTCGGCGGGGTCAGCAGCCTCTTCCACTCATTCCCTTGCAACGCCTGTGCTTTGGCTGGAACTGGAGGAGTAGGTCTCAGGTTCTGAGTGTGGGCATCGCTGCCAGGAGGTGGGGAGCCAGGGGAGCCTGCCGCCCTGTGCTTTGCTGTTGCCCAGAGCAGTCTGGATATAGATTGAGGGCATCCATCACCCACACACAGGTCCCTGCTATGTGCTTCCCCAATGGCCATCAGCCTGTGCCCAAAGGCCTTCAGCCTAAATTGCAGCTCTCTCTGGCCACATCTGCCAGAAAGCTGGATTCGGAGGATGGGGAGGGTCTGAGCCCCCTCCCTGCAGGGTCACGGGGTCAGGAATCTCAGACTGAGCACGTTCGCCGCCCTACAGAGGAGACTGCGGCGTTCCTGGGTGGCCTTTCTAAGCCGGTGGGGAAAGGGGACCAGCTGCGTGTGCTGGGTGTGTGGATGAGTGTGCCCTGTCTGCTTGTGCTGCCAGCTCCCACCCTTTCTGGCTCCTCCACACACTGGGGTGGTCCAGGCACTCGCAGGCAGCCATGGGCCATCATGCCCACAGGAGCCCAGGCACTCACCACCCTTCAGGCAGTGATCCTCGGGGCCCAAGTGGAGCCACTGCCTCCCCTACTCTGGGCTGGTCTTGCCCGGGCCTGGTCCTGGGGCCTCTGGGCATGCTGCCTGGAGCCCACAGTGAGGCTCTTCATCCTGAGCCCTCCACCTGCCCCAGGAGCCGGCTCCACTCCCAGGCCAGCCCCTGCTTTGACTGTCAGGGTGGACTGTTGTCCTGGCCTTGGAGGGGCTCTGGTCAGGCACAGCCATCGCTCCCTGGGGACATGGAGCTGCAGGGCTGGAGGCAGAGGAAGACGGGAGGGAGGAGTCAGGTTCATACTGGCCCAGCCCCTGCTAAGCACCTGGCACTTTGCCCCATGTCTCTCAGTTCTTACCACAGATCCATGAGGCAGGCGCGATTCTCCCCATTTTATTCAACTTGAACACTGAGCTCAGCAGTGGTGATGCGGAGCCCTACCCTTCCTCCAGGTCTGTGGGGGCTCCGTGCTCACTGAGCAACAGCGGACAACCCTCCAAGGGGGAGGGTTTCTGTAGGAGGGTGGCTGCGGTTCAGGTGTCTGTCTGTCTGTCTGTGAGGTCTCAGTTCCTGAGCTCTTGGTCTCCCTTGCTCAGCTTCTGTGCCTCACAGGCTTTTGGAGGCTCTGGTGACACAGGTGCAAACATGCCTTTGGGTGGAAAGCAGGCCAAGCAGCTTGAGTCGTCCCAGCCGCTGAAGAGACAGGCGTGGAGAGGAACCTGGGTGGGGGTGGGAGTCAGGCGACAGGAGCAGCGTCCTGGATCTTCTGTTTATTTGCTCAGTGACCTTGGATAGATCCCTCCTCTCTCTGGACTTGTTCACCCCATCTGTGCACTGAGTAGTAACTCCTGAAGGCCCTGCACCCCCAGTGGGTGTAGTTCTACCAGTCGCCAGGCTCCCCAGGGGTCACAGGGTTCCGTTTCTGTCCTTCGCTCCATCTGCAGAGTGCCTGCGGCCCGCCCCTGCCCGTCTGCCTGTCGCAGGAGACCGGGTGCTGTTTGCATGTGGCGCCCTTTCCCACTTCCAGCCTGTTCCTGGTTTCCTTCTCGGTGCTAACCGGCCTTGCCTTGTCTCTGTCTCCTCTACCTCTGCTCGCGGGTAGCTGACGGTAGGGACAGTGTCCAGCGGAATAGGGGCTGCAGCCGAAGTCCTGGTCAATCTGTACATGAATGATCACAGACCTAAGGCCCAGGCCACCTCTCCAGACCTGGTAAGAATGCACACCCTCTCCAGCTTCCCCCGCAGACTCCGGCCCTGGCCTCCCGGGGAGGGCACCCAGGACCCAGAGAGGAGGGCATGGCCCTCTCCAAAGTACCCCTTCTTGTGGACAGAGGGGTCGGGAATGGCGGATCAGAGCAGAGGTAGAGGGAGGCTGCATATCCTTGAAGACAAACCACCCAGGCGACCTTGGGGGTCGTTTCCCAAGGCCGAGCACCTTCCCTGCTGCCGGGGAGCTCAGCAAAAGGCCCAGTGAGGCCTCCACATGGTCGGACATCCCTTTCTGTCAATGTTTAGTATCCAAGTAGCCCTTTTGCATTAGGTTGAGAATTCAGTGGTGGAAAAACATCCCTTTTAATTCTCCCTTTCTCCAAAGGATGGCCACTCATGCCATCACCAGAGATTTGAGTTGACAGTCCCTTTTGCTTCCTTTCGGCACATTCCCTAGAATCGCCCAGGGGCAGCCCTGCGCTCCCCTCCCCCACCCCCTTGCATTTAGGAGTCCTACTGGAGCCTGCTGGCTGTGGGGCACAGCCTCTCCCTTTTCTGCAGTTCTCTTGAACAGTTTGTGTTTTTTTTCTTGAACAGTTTTGATGCCACAACTTTCCCTGCCTGACTTAAGTCACTGCAGGGGACAAAAGATGTAGAAAACATTCCTTCAGTGACTGCACTCTACACCCGACAACGCTTAACCCTGGGGCAGGCTCCTGGAGAGGGTGTCACTGGGCAGGCATATCTGTGGAAGATGCGCACACCTAGACCAGGAGACATCACCCCCTCCAGAAACCCGGGCAGCCGGGCTGGGGGACAGGCCCCTGCCTGGGCCCGCCTGTGGCCAGCCAGCCTGGTATACAATGAACAGCAGCCCCTGCAGTTTGGGGGGCTGTGTGGGGAGCGTTTCTTCCCACTCTCTTTGCTGCAGCGTCTGCAGTGACATAAGCAACAGACAGGAGTCACAACATCCCCATGATCATGCTGGAGTTTCTAACAGCCGGGGCCTCACATTCCACAGCTCCTAACACCCTGCTCTTCTCTCTGATGCCCTGTGCCCCCCAGGAAACGACACGGAAGGCCTTTCCCCTGAACCTGGGCGGCAGCGACACCTGTTACTTCTGCAAGAAGCGCGTGTATGTGATGGAGCGGCTGAGCGCCGAGGGCCACTTCTTCCACAGAGAGTGTTTCCGCTGCAGCGTCTGCGCCACCACCCTGCGCCTGGCCGCCTACGCCTTCGACGGCGACGAAGGTAACCGGCCGCCTTCCCCCAGGGACAGCACTGTGGGCTCCTGTCCCTCTGGAGGCTCTGGGACACCCAGCAACTCCCAGGGGGCTCAGTGTCATCGGGAAAGCTGTTCAGGGAGCCTGGGGGTCCTCTGGATAGAGAGGCCGCTGTCAGGGGGCAGGTGCTCCTGGGGGAGAGGCAGTGCCCACACCTGGTGGGCATTGGCCCTGAGGGCACCTGCTGAGTGCCGCCAGCTCAGTGTATGTTTTCTCGTTGGGTCTCACCACCTTCCATCTCCCCTGTGTGGGGGAGACAGGTGCTCAGTAGCACACCGCCCATGTAATAAGGGTTCAAGAGATGACGGCACATGGATGGGAGTAGTATTTGTAAAGTATGCATTAGGAAAATAATCACAATAGTAACATCCGTTCTGATGAGGAGCTGGTCAGAGGTCACGGAGGAAGGAATTGCACTCATTGGGACGAGGGGTCATTTTCTAATTTTCCCCCTGGGGTATTTGCACTGTCAGGTAGGATGAGAGGCAGCGTAGCACCGTCCTCATGACTTTAGACCCTCAAACTCAAGCACCAGGTTGAAATCTAGACTGTGGCACGTACTAGCCCTGTAACCTTGGGCCCGTTCCCTGACCTCCTGGTCCCGCAGTTTCCTCGTCTGTGAAATCAGGATAATAATAGTACCTAGCACCTGAGGTTATTGTAAGGGCTGGTGAGTTAATCCTCGGGGAGCATTGAGAATAGTGCCTGCTACACTGTGAGTCCTACCAAAGTTTTCCCTGTCGTTACATTCTTCCCGTCACTGTTGTCACTGATGTAACAGTGAGCAAAGACGGCTTTTCTGGAAAGCGCCCCAGGCCCTGGGCAGCGGCCGGGGGCCCAGTGTGTGTCTCACCCGGGTTTTTCCTCCTCATCCCCGCTGCCATCTGTTCCCAGCCTTTCCCACCCCGGGGTCCCAGAAAGGAGGAGGAGCTGCCTCACCACCGGTCCTGCGAAGAGACCTGGCCTTCGTTTGGTTTGGGGATCAGCTGAGGGGTTCAGCCTCATCCCTCTTCCTGGGCCTCGGATCAGTGCCACTTTAAGACTGGGCACAGAAACCCCTTCCCGAGAGGGAGCTGCCCTGGGTTTGTTCCCAGGACTGGCGTCTGATCTGGACAGTGGCGTGCACTTGGCTCAGGTCCACTGTGGCTCTGGCTTACAGGAGAAAAGCACACAAAAACCTGTGTGTGTGCGTTTCTTTCTACAGGCAAGTTTTTCTGCAAGCCTCACTTCATTCACTGTAAAGCCAGTAGTCAGCAGCGGAAGAGACGGGCAGATCTGAAGCAACAAAGAGAGGTACGTTTTGCCCTGAAACAGGGAAGGGCTCTGGACAGGAGGGGGTTTCAGGGGTTCTGCCGCGTTAGGCCAACATCTCTGGCCCTAGAAGGACTGAGGCTCGTAGATGAGGAAGAGGGCTCTGTGCCCTGCTGTGAAGGTCCCTTTGCCTCAGTCTGTTCAGAAGATCTCTGAGGTGTATCCCCCTCTCCTCCTCCACGCGCCCCCCCCCATCCCCGCCTCCTGCCAACTCCCAGGTGCGCGGCTGTGCTGGCCTCTCGGGAGAAGCCCAGAGAGCTTTCCCGTGTGCCAGGGATGGGGCTATCTCCTCAGCCGTGCAAAACTTACCCGTTGTCTCCCCATGGTCGCGGGCCCTGTCTTCTCCACCCTCCCACCCGCCACAGGACCACAGGGCGCGGTTTGTAGGGGTGCCTAGTAGGGGGCCAACCTTTGCTAGGTTTCCAAGTCCTTTCCCTTGGCCCTGGGATGTCAGCAACGGGATGAGCTTGTTTTAGTGCCCACTCTGGCAGCTCTTAGCTTATACCTCCATAGCTTGAGTCATACCACCAGCCCAGAGCCACCATTGACAGCTGCTTTCTGATTACATGTTAATCTAGGCTCAATGTAGAAAACATAGACAAATAGATTAGATACATAACGAAGGAAGGTTAAAGCGCCCATTGCCACTCTATCCTCAGCAAACCCTGATTTTGTGACAAGCATTTCCTCCCAGACTTCTTCCTCTGTGAATGGATGGTAACTGGTCAGAATCCTACGGCTACAGTTTTATCTTTCTTTTCTCACTAACACTGTATCAAGAACAGTTTCCCATGACATTACAACTCCTTTAAGAGCATAAAATTGGGTGCCTATAAAACATGGTCAATAATTTATTTAATGACTTCCATATTGTTGAATGTTCATGTTGTTTAATATCTTTACCTTCTAAATATTTTTATAATGAGCATCTTTGTACGTGCATACTTATCCATATTTCAAATTATTCACTTAGGGCAGATCATTAGAAATGTGGTTGGAGAAATGTGGGTTGTAAAGGATCGTGAGCCCCGTGATCAATTGTCCCCCAGGAAAGATGTGCTCATGCTCAGTCCCCCTGGGCAGTGCATGGGCGATGAGATTTGAGGCTGGTTCTGCCAAGTTCTGCTATAGATGTAGATATATTACACTGCCTAAGTCTATAAATCCGTTTGTCTCATAGAGAAGAGAGCACCGGAATCGGTTAGACTTGGTTGCTATAGTAAGCTCAAATTTTTTAAAATATACTTTTATTGATTTCAGAGAGGATGGGAGAGGGAGAGAGATAGAAACGTCAATGATAAGAGATCATTGATCGGCTGCCTCCTGCACGTCCCACACCAAAGATGGAGCCAGCTACCCAGGCATGTGCCCTTGGCTGGAATCCAACCGTGACCTCCTAGTTCATAGGTCGAAGCTCAAGTTCTGTTTTTATTGGCTCTCTTGGTCTGCTTTGCCAGAGGGGTCCTGTGAGCATCATGAACTCACTGCCTCCCTTTGATCTTTCTCAGGAGGAGGGAATGTGGCCGGAGCACGAAGCCCCTCGGCAAGAACCTCCCACGGAAAGCTCTTGTGCAGTCGCTGCCCTGGGCCCCCCAACAGGCAGCCCCCCAGGTATCACCACTTCCTCCTTTAGGAAGGCGCTAAACTGGCCTCTCAGGCTTCCCGGGAGCCTGCTTAACTGGATTCGGGGACTCCTGCGCGCCCTCGGCCAGCATTTCAGGGACAATGCTTACAACTACTGCTTCACCTATGAGCTCCTGAGCCTCGGGCTGCCCCTCCTGTGGGTGTTCTCCGAGGTCCTGGCTTCCATGTACCGGGAGTCCGAGGAGTCCCTGGAGAGCATCCGCGACTGGGTGCTCGGGCACTTCCCCAGCAAGCTCTCCTGACAGGCGCTGCCCCAAGGGCCTCCCCGGTTCCAGGGTAGATGGCCACGTGTTTGCAAAAGCCAAAGAGCTGGCCGCCTGCGCCAGCCTTGTCAGGGTGCTGGGGCCAGCGCGACATGAAGGATGTTTTTTATAGATCTGCATTTCTTTTATACCAAAGCGAGCTGTATTTTAGGTTTACATTTCAATATTTACCTTTTAATAATCCAAGAACAAGCATTTTTTTTTTTTTTTTTACAATGTGTGTTGAGATTTCGAAACACGGGTTTGAAGTTTATAACTGGTATGACAAACCCCTTCCACACCGTCAGTTGTAGTCAGAGTCACTGCCTGCCACATGAAAGATTTGGGCTTTTATGTCAACAAAAGTGAGTGTGCCATCTCCTGACCAGTGCCTCTCGTCAAGGAGGAAGAAGGGGGAGGGCAATTTTTTGCAACATGGAAGCATACTCATTTTAGAAGAAAAGAGTAGGAGAACAGAGTAGAATTAGGCATACAAAGTGCATGGCAGTGTGTAGTCTCAGTCCCTCTGAGACTGTGTTGCTCCCTTGTTTTGATGTAAAATGGTAGCTTTAAGTTTCCCCCACCTCCCATCCCAAACTACAGCCAAGTGAGAGAGAACCATGGGGTTTAGCGCAAATTGCTACAAAAAAGCATTTTCCCCTCCCACTGCCGAGCACTGCGGCGAAGCCCATTGGCACCTGACCCCGAAGAGCCCCACGAGCCCCCACGAGCCCACGCCGCTGCTGAAGGGGCTATGTCAGCAGGCGGCCTGGACCGGGAGCCCCCCGCCCCCGACCCCCGGAGCTCCCTATCAGGTCCCCAGCCCAGGCTGCTGTCTGAGCCAAGGCCTCTCAGGGTCCTTCGTGGTCAGGCTGAGGGAGAATCTGCCCTCTCCTGTCATGTCCTTTGAGACTGAGGGCATCTGGTAGTACCTCAGGGCAATATTTCTGGGCAGCGTGGCCTACCTAGTGAGCACTGCTTGCAGACATGCTGGCAGCTTAACCACCCGAGCTGGCAACCCGGCCTTGTGCATATTTGGTCAAAGCAATCCGAAACCATTGATTCTTCACGCTGTCCTAGGAAAGGAACGCATAAGACCTCCAGAGGGAAGGTCCCTGTGTCTTGACTGGCAGGGAAGGCTGGGAGTGGAAGCTGTTCGTTGACTGATGCAAAGAAATATGTCCTATTAGGGGCAAAACCTACCTGCATTCTTCCCTCTGGGCATCCGGAGGAGGCCTAAGCTGCCCCCACCCCACTCTGCCTGGACATGCACAGCTGCTGGGTCTGGTGGAACAATGGAGAGGCTGACAGAAAAAGGCCTCGGCCCTGCTCAGTGTAGCTAGAGTTGCTGAGCCGGACACACCTCCACGCACTTGTCACCTTGGAGATCTCCTCTACGTGGGGATGGAGCCTGGTGAGGGTTTGGAGCCGGAGCTCCTGAGCACGTGGAGATGGCACTTTTCTGCAGGGTGAGGAGGGGGAAGGCATTCCTACAAACACTTCCCTGAAGTCCTTGGGTAAAACAGGGGATGGCTGTGGCCACACCCGTGGGGACCGACACCTCAGTCCTTGTTGGGCCTGTTCTCAGTCCGGTGACTTGCATTGTGTTTTCCCCAAATTGTGCTGGGATTGTACTGTTCAGCATGGCGGGAGGAGCCCTCGAGTCATTGTATGTTTGATTCCAGAAAGTAGGCTGTCCAGGCTCAGCTGTGTCACTGTCCCCGTCAGCACAGGGCAGGCTGAGGAGCTCTGTGTGGGCTCCAGGGGCCAGTTAGCATCTCTGAGAAGGTCACGAATGGCCCTAAAGGGACGGGTTTGAACTCCTCTGGTGAGACAGGGTGTGCCTGTCAGAAGCCTGAGATGTTTGTATGCTCTGCGACTTTGAACCTTCCTGGTGGGCAGCACCAAACACACAGTGGATCCCAGGCGGAGGGGGTGGGGGGACCGCTAAATCTCCACAATGGGTTCAAGAGCGACTATGAGACACTGGAGTAAAACGGGGGCCCAGAGGGCATCGGGGCCGGGGATGCAGATGCAAACCACACGTGCCCACTGCGGCCGCGAAGGGGCAGCTCACCACCAGGAAGGTTCCCCTGTCCGGAGCGAGCCGCGACGCGTGTGGGGACGTGTCCCCGTGTTAAATGATGGCCTTGTTTTCAATTCCCACTTGTTGTCTTCTCTTGCTGTCGGTCGTTTTCCTCTTCCCCCCAAAACTAAATTCTCGTTTCTGTCTCTCTCTTTCCCACCTTGCACTTGGCCGTCAGTTCCTTTCAGCCTTCCAGTGCTGCACCCACTTCTTGGCTGACCCACTTCTCCTCTGAGGTGACTGGTTTCCTTGCGGATTTTCCGAGAGTGGGACTGACTAACCCCTACGCCGCTTTCCGCACCCGTCCTCCCGCCGCGGTCCTGGTAGTGCTCACTGCAAGTGTCTTGCGTACTAACGACGCCTCGGGTGGCATGGCGGACCAACGGCGTGGGGTGGTGTTCAGCGCCAAAGCTGGATCCCATCCCACTGACCGGGGAGCTGGCCGCCCGGCCCCTCCAGGTGCATGCCCGCCTGCCGCCATCCCTCTGTGGCTTGCGCGCATGCTTTGCCGGTTGCACTGACAAAGCCGGGCCGCTTACCTTCCTGGGAGGGTTAGCTCTGACTGGGAGACAGGGCCGTAGGGGGGCTCTGTCACCTGTGAAAAGAACACCTCCGTCTAGGAGCCTCTGAAAAAGCTTGTACAGAAACTGGTTCTAATATGAAGATCATGGATGCCATTGATCAAAACCAGAGGCGATTCTTTCTGGAGGGATGAGAGCAGTACTCCCAGCTTCCTCACCTCCTCCATCCAGGCTCTGCACTGGGACCACACATCACAGTTTTCCTAGCACGCCCCTTTCCGGCTGTAGCCTACCCCACAGATGTTAAGTTTTGCCGTGGCTCTCCTTACCTCCCGTGGCTCACAAAGCCGCAGAGGAGGCGGAAGCTGCCCCGAGAGCCATCATGTCGCAGGCCAGGGATGGCCTTGAGAAAGGACTCAGTCCAGCCCAGGCCTGCAGCGGCCAGGTTCAGTGCCCCCCAGGCCTGCTCAAAGCTGCTCTCTCTGCTGACTCGTTACCTGGAGCAGCAGGCAAAGTGCCAGGAACCGTAGGCCAGGCCTCAGGTCTCAGGCTGCATGCGGCGTCTGTCCTGCACGCAGCCCAGACACGCTGACCCCGGGCCTGGCTGCCCTGCCCTGCATGCTGCATTCCTCACTGCACCCGTGCAGATCCCAGCCAGTGCGAAGTCATTGCTTTCTCTTATCTTCTCTTGCAGAGTCTCCCTCCCTTTATAGAATGTCAACCAAAGACTGCCCTCCCCTCCCCTCCCAGTCCCCTCGTCAGCTAGCCTTCCCCCTCCCCCCAGCGCATGTTTGTGACCCTCCGTGGTCATTTCCAGTGCCACACCGAACCCTGTATTTTGCACACAGCGAACAATGTTTAGCTTTATTTATGGTATATGATGCTGTAAATGAAAATAAATATGGTTCTTTATAAAGCTCCTTGTTTCCTCTCTTCTTTGCCATGGAAGCTGCTCAAACCTGGAACACAGGCATTAATTTAGGGGGCCGGTCTTCCCTAAACTGCTGGTGGGACTTGCTCATGTGGTGACGTGGGACTCTCTGGGGCTGCGCTGGGCACTCTGAACGTAAATATTACCCAGGGGTAATATTTGGAAAAAGTCACCCATGCTCCTGGGCCCGGCTTTGGGATCTCCTTCTTGAAAACTCATGGCACTTTTCTGCTTTAGATGCCGGACGTAGCTGGTGAGGGTCCGTGTCACCTCAGCTGTTGGGAGCAGACTGGCTTAGCAGCTGCGGGCACCCACTTCCCCACACATCCGAGCCTCAGACCTGACGGAGCGCTTTACTCAGGACCCGTGTGCCAGCATAGGTTCCTATAGAACAGAGGCTGCTCTGGGCAGTTTTACGCTGAGTCAGCTCAGCGATGGGTGAAAGGTCAGAAGGAAGGAGCAGACGCTGGTTTAAGGATGGCGGTGAGCAAGGCAGGTGTGCTCATCCAGGCTAAGGGCCACCTGTGATCCTAAGACACCTGTCCTGCCCCTGAGGCTCAATGACTCAGTGTCTCAGGCTGCAAGCTCCACTCACAGGGCCACTCTGAGGACAGCACCATGACAGGTGCTGGTCTGACTCTAGGCTGTCCTTAAAGGAAGGGCTTCGAGTCCCACCTGCCTTCAGACGCCTGGTCCCCAGCCTCCTCAGGGTGGGAGGCCTGCCGTTGCCAGGCTGCAGGGAGCTGAGCTTCTGATGCTGGCGTGAAACTCATCTGTGAATCCACGGCCTGCGTACCTCCCAAGGGGCATTTCTGGGGCCCTGGGCCTCTAGCCCAGCAGCAGATGCCTGAAGCTGCCTTCAGAGCGGCCTGGGGTCGTGACCGAGGTGAGATCCTCTTACCCAGGTGAGATCCTCTGCCCTTCTCCCGAAAGAAAAATGTTAGGGACTGAAGTCAGGAGCTGGGTTGGGAAGTAACTCATTCCTTTAGTCATGTATCTGTTCCAGTGTTTGTCTAGGCATAGGCTGGTCCTACCACCGTGGCAGTGAGCCACACAAAGCCCCTGCCTCTCCCTGGATTGTGTACTGGACTTGATTTGTTCGGTTCATTTGTACCTGCACGCGCATGTGTACTCCATTGACACCGAGCATCTTCGGCGTGCTGGGAACACAGCAGGCCATGAAACAGACAAAGGGCCTCACTCTCGTGGAGCAGGGAGTTTGCCTTTGATTTATTATTATTATTATTATTTGACGTTGGGTTAACGCAACGTTTTCCAAAAGGTGGCAATGGAATACTACCTCCAAGAGGTGCTTTGTGAATAAAGGGTTCCACAGGCACCAAGTTTGAAAAATGTTTTATACTGGTCATGCCAGTCCTCCCTCACCTTAGAGATCCACAGGTTTATTAGCATGTTCAGGCCTCTGAGGAGCTCTCTGGTGAAGAAGTTCACTTCACTTCGTTTAGGTGGGCTCTCCCATGCCTACTTAAGGAGTGTTTTTGTTTTGCATATTACACTTTACATAAGTGTTCAGTAGAGTATTCATTCTTCCTGAAACATTAGATTAAAGACTTGACATCAAAATAAGTAAAATAATAGAATTAAATAGACGAGTATTGATTATATCTTGGGGTGGTAACTTTCTAAGCTTTAAAACCATAGACAGAAGAAATTACTTAGGAAAAACATGACACAAATCTGATGATATCCACTTTTAAAACTCAACATCCTATATAATAATCCTATATAATAAAAGGGTAATATGCAAATTTATCCTAATGGCAGACCGACCAGGAATGACGGGTCGCTATGACACGCACTGACCACCAGGGGCAGACGCTCAACGTAGGAGCTTCCCCCTGGTGGTCAGTGCACTTCCACAGTGGGAGGAGCGCCGCTCAGCCAGAAGCCGGCTCATGGCTGCCAGCACAGCAGAGGTGGTGGGAGCCTCTCCCACCTCCACAGCGGCGCTAAGGATGTCAGACAATGGGGAGCGGGCCTAAGCCGTTAGTTGGACATCCCTTGAGGGCTCCCGGGCTGCCAGAGGGATGTCTGACTGCCAGCTTAGGCTCGATCCCCCAGGGAGTGGGCCTAAGCCAACAGTTGGACATCCCTCAAGAGGTTGTGGACTGTGAGAGGGCACAGGTCAGTCTGAGGGACCCCGCCCTTTCCCCCCACCCCCGAGTGCTGAATTTTTGTGCACCAGGCCTCTAGTATAACAATAAAAATGAAAATCTTTAATAGGCAGTCAGAAGGAGAAAGCATTCTGAGTTAGATGTGATGACAAAGAAGCACATTGCTACGGCACTTAACAAAGTTCATGCAAACCAGGCACCCGGCACAGTTGTCACTGAGCAGTTAATATTTGCTGATTAGAAACCCCATGATAAATGGGCAATGGCCATGCAGAGACCACTCACACACAAGCAGGTTAAAAAGCTAATGATAGAAAGAAAAGGCAAGCATTTAAAAGAATGTGAACAAATTATGCTGTACCCGCAGAATTGGTAAAAAAAAAAAAAGTAAAATAGATTGTAAAAGAAAAAAATGTATGGCCAGCGTAACTAGCATTGAGTACAAATCCATGGAATCCATGGGGCGGTCTTTTCTGGAAAGCAACATGGCAACAATTATTAAGACCCATAAAAGGGCCCTGACCTCTCGGCCCAGGCACCCTACCCCAGGGGACTGGTCCTAAAGGCATAACCCAGCCGAAGAAACAGACCTCCATGCAGCCAGCATAGTAAGTAGCGCAAGTGGGCCAAGCAGAGTGGGCGGGCTGTTCTCCTTGGTTTCTGTGAACTCATTCGCATTTCCCGCTTTTCCTTTAATCCCTGACATTAGTAAAGGAAGCAGCTGCTTCTCTTCCCGCCCCGGGCCAGCTGTGATTGACAGCGTTCCCTCGCTGCCAGGCACGGGGCCAAGCACTTCATGTGCAGCATCTCGTAAACGCTCCCTCCTCCTGGCAACCTCCAGGCTGGTGCTGATATTCACGAAGTTCGCTGATGCCAGGGAGGTGGACTAGAGCAGGATCTTCAACTGTAAGGGAACAGAGCGTCCCGGGGGTCCCTGCCAGGAGCCAGGAGCCAGGTGCTGCTCCAGGGCAGCCTGGCTCGCGGGAACAGCCTGGACTTTGACTTCAGCCCCTTGTGCTGACTCAGTGGCATGGGGTTTTGTGAAGGCAGCGGCACTGAGCAGCCTGACCTCTCATGCTGAGTTCCAGATCGCATTTCCCTGGTTTTGTGCAGCCGGCAATGTCCCAAGGGAGGCTTTCTGAGGTTGTTGTAATCAGCAGGGGCTGGGGGCACCCGATGGGGCATCAGGTGGGGGGACTAAATAGAGGTCCCAACACACACTGGAGACAGCATCCGCTTTTCTCTAGTTTTCTGGTCTCCCAACCTCCCTTCGGACACCCAGCCTCAGCTCCGGAGCCCCATCCCTCCCGCCAGCTGCCAGCAGGAGTTTTAGTTTTGCAATGGCCTCAGCTCGATATGGTCTGGCCCCTGTAACTCGGACCTGCTCTCCTCCTGCTCTCTCACACATGTAGTCCCACTGGACTCCTTTCTGTCTTAGAGCCTCTGTACTGTCTGTTCCCTCTGCCAGGAACGCCCTTCCCAGCATCCATATGGCAGATCCTGCCCATAGTCAAATCTTTGTTCCCATATCTCCCTCCGAGTGAAAGCTGCCTTTAACACAGCTCCCCGCACCCTCGGCTCCTGACCCGCCTTTCCTGATGAGGCAGCTTTTCCATAGCTCTACACCTCCGACCCATTATGTAATTCACTTATTGATTGTGTGTATTGTTTATTTTTCCCCCTTGCTAGAACGTAAGCTCTGTAAGGGCTGGGATATTTGTTTCTTTGAGCCACTCATAACCCCGACAGGTGGCACAGTGCTTGGCACATAGTGGCCCCCGATGGATATTTGTAGGGTTAATAAAGGAATGGCAGGCCTGCCTGCTGGCCTGGACCTCAGACTGGGCACCTGCAGCGGGAGGTCTTGTTGGCGCTGGTTCAGAGCTCGGGAGGAAGAGCCTGGAGATAATCGTGACATTGCCTGTCTGCCACCTCCGCGGAGTGTCTTTGATTGGGAGAAGGGGGCTTTGATTTTGCTTCTATTTCACCTTCTAAGGGGCATGAGCTTGTTTCCTAATCTGTAAAATGGGGAAATAACGATACACAGGAGAACATGCCTCCCTGGGCTCGAGGGAGAGCGGCAGGGTCCTGGAGTTGGGTAGAAAAAGGAACAATTTCACCAGCAGAGCCGGGACAAGGGCCCTCACCCTGACTGTGCAGCTGGGCCCCGGGACCCGGCTGGGAGTGATGTGCACAGACAGATGTCCCCGGGGACACCGCCAGGCTCTGCCTCTGCGGTCTCTCTTTCACCAGGAGCAGGCGTCCGCCCAGAGCACTGAGTGGAAGCTGAGGTGCTCGGCTCTGAGCAGGCCTGCTTCCTCGGGGAGGCCCAGGGCAGCTGGCCTGGGAGCTGCTGCGTTGTTCTCAACCCCCACCCCACCTGCCTCCTTCCCTGGCAGCCCCCAGCCCTACAGTAGCCCTGGATTCTCCCTGTGACTATGACAAAGAGCAGCCAGGCCTGGGGCAGGCGGCACAGGGGAGCAGACCCCAGTCCCCGGTCCCTTACCTGGGGCTACTCCGTGTCCCTGCAGTGGTCCTGGCTGAGTTACTCTCTGGACTGGGCGTTCTTCCACTCACGCGATGAAGGTGACAGTCCTGTCCTTTCAAGTTGCCAGGATGTGGGAGTGATGGACGTAGAGCGTTGACAGGCACATGGGCACCGGGTGATGACTCGCGTTGTTGTGTCATTGCCGTTAGGTGACCTCTGTCCCAGCACCAGTGCCCCGGAACCGGCACTCCTGGTGTGTGCGTGTGGACAGGGCCCCAGGAGTGAAGAGAGGGGTCTGGAAGTAAGGCTTGAGGAGTGGCACTGAACCCCAGAGACCTGCTGGGGACCAGGCTGGGGG